GGTTTGTGTGGATGCTCAATGTAGATTAAACTGAGGCCTAACAAGGCGATGTAGTGCTACGAGAGGACAATGTTGGACCGACGAGACGTGGAGGACGAAGCAGTAGGGTGATGCTGAGCACACAAATGACTACACTCCTTTGTGTTGCATTATTTTCACAAAGCCGAAAGAAATTTTCACAAAGCACACTGACTTAAAATAAGAAATAAGGTTTGAAGGAACTAGTTGAACATTAAGATCCTGTTGTGCAAAATGGTGGCCTAGACATCATCAAATCCAGAACGCGCCGGGCAAGCACAGAGAACAATTGGGCACGAGGTAGGAGCGGCCAGGTCGGCACGGCGTGACCACGAGTTCGCCGTTCTTGCAATGCTCAGCGCGGAACACGGTCACATGGAGCAGGCACTCTCCACCCCTAGCTTTCGCTCCCTCGGCGACCGACGCCGCCGGCACGACCTCGACGAGGCAGAACCGCCCATGCCCGACGTGGACGAGTGCGCGGCACCCGAGGTTCACCGGCGTCTTGAGGAACGTGAGCTCCTGATCGCACATCCTCCACGCCGGCGCCGGCACCGGCCCCTCGACGTCGACGCCAGCGAGGTCCGGGACGTCGCAGGAGCAAAGGTAGGGACTTCCCTTGACCCCGCCGTCGGTGCCGTCGGCCTCCCGGATCCCGACCCACGCGCCCAGCTCGCCGTCGTAGTGCCCGCGGCCGTGGAACGGCAGGCGCCAGTCGCCGCGGCGCGCCGACCGGCAGCGCCTGGTGTCGAGCGAGAAGGTGAAGGAGGACGAGGCGAAGACGGTGCGGCCGTCCGGGTGCACCGCGTGCGACATGACACGGCTGCGGCCGCCGCCGGCGTCGAGCGGGAGCGGCCGCCGGCACATCTTCCAGGCCCACTCCTCGTCAGGCTCCTCGTGTGCTAAGTAGCCTGGCGTATTTTCTTCCTCGCCGTTTAGCGCCCACAGCTTGTCGCCGACGGGCGCGGATTGGTAGGGGTGAGACGGGAACCATTTCCTCGCCTCCAGCACGTCGCCGTCGGGCTCGGAGTCGAAGGGGCCGGGCGGGAACTCGTGTGGAGGCCTCCCGCCGTCCAGCTTCCCCGTCTTGGTGTCGTACACCAAGGTGAGGAAGTACGGAGTGCCGGCGAACAATACGGAGAGGGTGCTGGAGTGAGTCGTCATGACGATGTTGCTGCCGACGGCATCGAAGTGCGTGTCATTGTATGTGCCCCACCAACGAGGCGCCCAGGCGGAGGGCTCGTCCCGGGAGGCGGCGCGGCGCCTTGTCCGCGACGGTCGCGTGCTCGCCGTCGTGGAGGTCGTCGACGTCGAGCTTGTAGATGCTGTGGGTCACCGAGCGCCTCTCCTTGAGTACCACGTACAGATGCCGCCGCAGATTGGACTCCGCCGCCGCCGTCCTGCCATCAGCTCCGTTGGGCCGTGCCGTGTCGTCGTCGGTGGCGTA